AACGTATACTTTAAATTTTGTATTCCCTTTAATGGATAACTATATTGTATGGTTTTAAACAATTCTATGTTGAATAGAACGGTATATAGAATATTATATTCCGAAGTATCAGCAATATTTCCAAGAAGTGCGATGGTAAAGTGAGTAAAATGCTTGACTGTGGATACGCTGCAAACTTTTTGATGCTGGTTCGCGTCCCGTTTAAAGCACATCTTTTTTTTGTTCTATTAATTATATATTTTTTCAATTTTCAACTATATAGCAATGAAAATCTATTTAAAATATTTTACAATATACACAAAAACAACTATGGAGCAGTTTCTATTCCATCGTTTCTCTAGCTGTGTAACATTAACACATAATTACGCCAGCAACTATTCAAAAATAGCATGCTTTGTTAACAATTCATTTGAAAAACGCTTAAATTCAAACGTTGAACTCCGTGATGAAATAGTAAACAGAATGTCAAATCAATAAACGGAAAATACATTGGCAATAGAAGTTGTGACAAAACACTGGACTGTAACAGTCGAAAAGTACCATTTAACATGGACATCTGCGACGGATCTTCTCGATTTTCCAGAGACGACAGGGAGAGACTAAAAAATTCTATATATCGGATCGCATCAGTTTCATATTTAGCAGAAATAATGGTCCAAGACAGCAATATTTACATACGTTCCTCAAAAGAAAATAATATCATCAAAATAGTAAAATCACGTCATAGTAATAGTAAAATGTATGGATGTTACATAGATTATGCATATACCAACTCAATTGGCTATTTCGGAGTGAAACGCTATTGCTGCGAAAGTGATAATGGTAATCACACCATCGGGTGTTGTCTACATATTGCGACTATTATTTATTATTCGTCACATGCTCGATACTTGTCGACAACTATAAGGCCTGCAGAAATATTAAATAAAATATTTAACGAAGAGCAAGTGACATCTGTTATTAATGAAGACAGCGATGAAGCCTAAAGACATCAGATATGATTTTATTCAATTTACTTAACGATCATGTAGAGGAGTATTAGTACAAAAAAGTTCATATATGTATTAAGTATGGAAAAATAGAAAGAATTGTATTAATAACAGGAATCAATATGGACATGTATAATGAAAATGGGTAACAATAGAACAGTTTCTCGTCTAAAATACGTAATTTAATCTGTCAATAGTTGTAAATATTGTACACTGAGAATTTCGAACTCGTACACATCATAAACCATATTATCATCATAATATATGCAAAGACTGCGTATGTTCTTTTTATCGAAGAAATCTGCTTCCACTATTCAGAGTTATTAAAGGCATGAGATTTTTAAACTATGCAATTATATTCATTTAACGTAGAAAAAATAAAACAGTAAGGTATTTAAGCGAATACACAGCTAGGGAAACGATGGAATAGAAACTGCTCCATAATTGTTTTTGTGTATATTTTACCCTTTCGAACAAGATAGAGGGTTGAAACTTGGGACAGAATGTTTTTTTCTGGTGCTCTATCGATGGATCGTATGTTAAATTTGATTCAAGGGCACATTTAACCCCCTTACTCGGCTATACCTTTTAATACGTTCTAAACACGTTATGAATGTAGTGTAAGAAAATATAAAATATAAGCATCGTTAACAGGTAACAAATTAACGCCTTAATTTACAGTAAATTATACAGTTAATTATCGAATATGAATCAAATTTTAATCACTTAATGTCTCAATTACTAATCCAAGAATTTTTAACCAGTAATCATAGAAAAATAAATATGTGTTTTTATAAAAAGAAGCCAAATTAATTTCCAGCAAAGCTATTTTATCAAAAAGATATTTTCAATGGCCTTCATTCAACACAACAGTAATATCAACTATAGTATAGAGATAATATATAGAGATATAGAGCTACTATCATGACAAGGTTTGGTCATTACTGATATAATACATTGGAAGTGAGAAGAAATGCAGCGCAAAGTCTGATGAATGTTTACAAAATAAAAATAAAATTTTGCATTACGTAAGCAATAACTGAAAAGAAGTACTACATATATCTGCATTATATACCATTGAAATTAATGTTATTTATTTATCCTTTACAGATTTACTTTTACCGGCTTCAAAGATTTATTAAAATAGGATTGTCAAATAATAAATTGCTGAACTTTGCCCATTCACGTTGTTTCCTTTGCAATATCATGTAAACTTATATCTCATTTGATTATAATGAATAAAGTCGTTAAATAATAAATCAAATGAAATGTACCGTTGCAAGTTTATGGAACCAAATTTTATACCAAAAAGAATAGTTTTTGAAACACTAATTATTTGGAAAAAAGAATTTTTGAAATAAAAAGTTTAACGATGTAAAAATAGAACTGTATAATCTAAAAATCCTGAGCATTTTAACTGTAAACACGCAGCCTGAGATTAAAAAGAGGATTTTTATTATAAAAATTGTGATAAATATAAATTAAAGAATAAATATAATTTAAAGAAAAAAAAATTTCTTTTGATTACATATGAAAGATGTTTTACCTATCGAATAGATTTCAGAATAAATGTACACAAGTTACAAAATGGATGCCTATAGTAGAGTAACAGATTATTTCAATGAATCTATGCAGTATTTAAAACTGTAAATAGTAAATGAAAATTTGTTCAATGCAATAATAAGTATATTATATATTTTATATTAGTACATATATAAATTTTGCTAAGCTATCCCTCGTTATAAATGTACTAATTTGATAAATATAATTCTTACAAATAAGAAATAGAAATATGTATATCAATATACTAGTTCCAAGTGAACTTTTTCCTAAACTATGACCTTTTGCCTGTGAATAATATTAATCATAAAAATCGTTATCATTGGTGGAATCGTGTTTAAAAAAAGCTAGGAACGATATCTTATCGCGCATTGCACAAAGTAACAAAACGCATGTTAGTCACGGATTGCGCGATGTATGGATCGATAACTACTTGCATCTCGTATACATAAAAGTCGAAGCCTACTTGCATATTTAACGCATCAAAATTACAGTCGCGGCGCACAATTTCCTACTTTCGGAATATCGTGTGTTACCTTCTCGAACTACTAAAATTATTGCGACGATTAGCATACAAGTGGTGATTTTGTTAAGATTATTTTAACAATTTTAAAATACAATTTTCTCGTTTATATTTCGTCATGTATAACATAAATAAATTGTATGGAACTTTACTTGATTAAAACCGAATGAAGCTTCGCGGTAAGTAGTGTCGCAACCATTTTATACGTGTTTTTTGTCACTTTTTATAATCGTTGTACATAAAGCCAACTTCTTACGTATTATACGTGCAATGCGTTGCAATTACTGGACTCAAAGAACGGCGTGACAAAAAGTGCAACGAAATGATCGGCTGGAAGGAATGGAAGTGCAAGAAATTACTGTTACTATCTCTAATATATGTACAAACACGTCGTCCATACACTTAAATTCATAAAAATTTCGCAATTTTACGCGGACAGTGTTTTCTGAAAATACGTACTATCGTTTTATCATTCACCCCTTCTCGGTTTTCTTCGCGGTTATAGCCTGTCTATTTTCATAGAAATGAAACATAATTCGTTTACCGCCATCAAAGGTGCCGTGGCGTTTGCACCCTGGGAAAAAAAAACAAACGAGTAATCTTTCACACGGTCGATCAATAGCCACGAATAGAGTATCTTAATTCTTCGATAACGTTGCAAGTTCCGGCGTAATATTTTCCATAGAAAGGAAACCTCTCACCGAAATAGCGAAACACGCGTATCTCGATACTTCATAGAGCATCAAGGATCAACGAAGCGACCTCGCCTAATTGCAGGCAAAGTGGAGACGCGATCTTCTTATCGATTGTGCTCGCCCCTTGTCCTTTCTTTCTGCAACATCAGACCGTATCGGCCAATTTCGAGCGAAACGCGAGTCGAAGGCCTTCCCTGGCTGTATTTCGTTCTTTTTTTCGGCGGCGAGTCTTCACCGTGAAGATCGAACTCTTTATTGGAGATCGTGCTCGCCGGCAAGAAATAACGTTGCACGATCGTCGATGATCGTTCGGCAAGTTCTCGTGTTTCGACGACAAGACCGTGGTCAATCGCTGTTTTTCTTTTGTTGCGCGCTTTCAATGGCGCTGAATAAGTGGTTAGGCGACGGGTAGAAATGAACGAAAGGTATTTGCCATAAAATTTCCGAATGCGTGGATATTTTGGTAAAGTAACGTTTCTCGATCGATATTCTCTAGACCTATATAGGCTAATTATATCGTTAGGTACAATGTCGATCACCGTCGCGAACGAACACATTCCTCCCCGACACCGCGTCCCGCGACAATATAATAAGCTGTTACCCGTTTCATTTTGTTGCGCGTATATACATATTTAATAGCCGAGTAAAAAATGTATCTATGCGCTTGAGATTTGTAAAAACTATAATGTACACGCGTTTATTATCAGGAATATTGTCGCAACAGTCGTATCACGTGGAACGAAACAAAAATGTTGAAATCTATTCGCAAGTATAATAACTGCATGGTAATTTACTGTGGAAATATGAATGTATTCATACCAATCGTAAAAATGGCCTCCATGCGAACGTTATCTTTACGTAAAAAGTAGTATCGTAAAGTTTAAAACATTTACTATCGCCGTGACGGTAAACTCAAGTACCATCAACTTCGAAAGCGATGGAAAATACAACGTAAAACTAACGATTAAAAAATCGATTCGACGCAACCACGCATCGTGGTTATGTACGATTCGCGTTTGAAAGTTTATAATGAAACAACGCGCAGTATTACGGCAGACGCGCGTAGAAATGTTGTTAATCAATGCGAATGGATATATCGAACGTTACGTACGAGACTTCAGCTCCGATATTGAATACAGAACGCGAATAGTTGAACTTGACAACTATTTCGAGACCCGTTCGACGCGATTGTTCTATCGTAAAGTCAAAGTGTAGAAAATGCTGGACTCTTACCTAATATTCAGACTGGAAAATGTTCTTTCTTGTCAAGCTGTCCGATGCACTTGCAGAGTTCATTCCAGCGATCAGGTGAACGCACGTAACCGTTAATCGGGGCATAAAACCACAATTCTTGTAAGAAAACACTCGATTACACTGTCTCGTAGTTCTCTTCGGTCGTCATACCACACAGTTTCATCGGAAAATTATCGCGTTAAGCAAGTCTTACGGGCGAATACACACTAGTTTGTACCACGCGACGAGTTCCTAACCTCGTGGCGCATTTGCGCGCGAGGGCCGCGCGCGCGCGCAAATAAACAGACGTGTCGCATTCACGGTTGTCTCTTTTTGTCACACGTACATCACAATTATCACACTCGCACGGCAAGTGGTAATACAGATAGTCACAAATGCCAAAAGCAACGAATGTCTTTCTTCCGCTACCACTGTTTTTCGTAAATAAAGAATCTTCTCTTCTCTATCCGTCACTGTGTTTATTCGTTAGTCTCTCGTGTGTCGTTTCTCAACCGATTTACCGTCTATCTCCCGTCGGTTGGTTCTTTTGTTCCGTCACTGAAACGACAGGAGCATCATTCGGTTAAAAACTCACGATCTCAACGGGCACACGCAATCATCTCGAAACGCTAGCAACGCCGAGAAATCCAGCGGCCAAGTAACGAGACCGCGTATGCATTTAGTTCCGCAAAAAGCATAACAACGCACCCGTGTGCTTCAGGCAGCGCGCCTCCGACACTTTTCGCACACGCGCACTTCAATTGTCTCCTCTTCGTGCGTCTTCGCAGTAACCGCGTGTCACTCTATCCCCCTTCTACTCCTCTTTCTCCCCCTCTTGCACCGCGTAACGACAGTCCTCTCCATCGGAGTACGTCAGTGCACGCTGAATCTTATTTCGCCTCTTGCATCAGGGTCTTTCGTTCGACCACGCGAAATTACGTGCGACGTTTACCGAGAAACTTTCCCGCTTTGCTCCTCCGTTAGTCCTCCTCTCTTTCGGGTGAAAGCCACTTCGCGCGAGTCCTCGACAAACGTCACGGGACAATGTGCAACAGCGCGAGTATCGGTCGCGAGCTGTCCGAGGGTAGAACCGTGCCCTGGCGGAACGTAGAAATATCTCTAGACGGTGAAACGTGGAAAAGCGCGACACCACCGATTCGTTCGACGCGCGCCTGTATGCGGTCCGTAACTCACTAAGAGTGCTGGTAGCAGCGGCACACCGACGAAATGCATGGTGGATACGAGCACTGGCTGGGAGGGGGCACGTCCCTGGCGCGGGGAGGAGACACGCCGAGCAGTCAGGCGTCGGGAGGGTGAGGGGTCTTTCGTCGAAGAGTGGTGGATGGACGGATGGAGGTGGCACGCGGGTTTAGACGGACGTTGAGATTTTACGATTGAATCCATCCGACCGCCGTGTAGAGTATACTTACGTGGACGGCGCACGGGGTTGTCAGTGAGAACCTCGTACGCGCGAAGTGTCGCGCCTTCGAGTGGATCATTTATCGTTGGCAAACGGCCTCGATGATCAACCGAACGTCACCAACATGAATTTCGACCAGCAACGGGAACGTTTCATCGGTTTTGGATACGGAACGGGACTCACGGGCGTATTACGAATCGACGGTTCGAGTTGAACGTTTCCCGAAGGCGTAGCTTTTCCGATGTACCGCGAAATTGATGGATGCATTTTCAGCGAACGCCAGCGAGTCGAATGTAATTACAGCCCGACGATGCTAAATAGTAACATTTGCAGTCTCTACCTTCTCATATATGCAGATATTAGCTCTCACAGTAGGAAATATAAAATTAGCCGGATAGTAGACGCGATGCGCCAAGTGCCTAGCTAGAAATGCATACGTTTATTTGTTTCAAAAACGCTTGCAATAATATCTGCAATCGAAATAAGTGAGGCTACATGTACCTAAAACTGTAGGAACGTTCAAGGTTATACATTATTTATACTCGCACACGGTACGCTTCGTGAGTATTTAACTCTTTGCGTTTTAAGTACAGCTGAGTTACGAAATTTATTAGCATCGACAAACGTTTGACAGCGCTCAAACAAATGAACAAATTTTATAGAATGTTCTCATTTTATTATTCTTTTCTTTTTTTAACAATTTTTAATTAAATACATATGAATGATTACGTTTCATTAATGTAGATAGTCCTTTTCAAGCATAAATGTCTTTAAAAAAATATGAAGATTGGAATCACAATAATTTTTAAAAACAAACAATAACGTGAAATTAGTAATTTTAATAAATAAAATATAACTTACAAAATTGAAACCAAACGACAATTATAAGTGTTGGTATAACTTGTGACAATCTAAAAGTACTTTATAAAATATTTGTAAGGCTATGTTCTAACGATAGAATAGTAAAAGTAATATAATTAGAAATGAAACGAAAATTATTCGTAATAAATAAATTTAAAATAGAAGACATTATTGTAGCTAGAAAGAATTGCGAAATGTAAACATGTAGGACATTAATAAAACGTATACGAACCGAAAATAAAGCTTAATGACTTTTTTAATGACTTTTAACGAAACTTTCTAAAACTTAAAATTAAACTATTCAAGTTGAGTTTAAATGAATTATATTGGTTTGCGAATTCATTATGTTTTTCTTATTTTTGATTCATTGATATAGATCATCTCTGATATGCAACCTTTTGATTTGTATATTTCTGAATCAAAAATTCTGTATTTTCCGAACCTATAGTACAATATTTCTTTGGTGACGATTATGAGAACTAACGGAAGCTCTATTATTTTCTACATTTTTATATTCATTAATGTTTATATACTACAAGAATGTATTATTATTGTTAATTTCATATTATTATTTATATATAATACTAAGATTGTTGTGTTAGCGAAACCAAAGTAATTATTATAATTATAATTCATTAGATAGATTCGATTTTCTAAAACTGTCAACGTAATAATCTTGCAGAATTGAATGTAATTTTTATAATGCATGTACATCTTGATTTAACCGGTCACGCTCAAAGCATCGTACTGTTTTTTAAAACCACAACTATAGCAGTCTGTAAAAGAAAAAAGAAACTCCACGCCACGTGTAGTCTTCCGCATGCTAGAATATTAGACATGGCCATAACATATTCTCTCAGCTTTGATTCTTCAAGTAGAGTTGAAAAAAGACTAAGCCATCATTCATTATGAACAACATCTAATATTTATATTCGATATGAATATGTGAATCGATATATCGCGTGAATTTTTAGGAAATTTTAATTATCTTTAGACTACGGATGTTTATGCAAATGCATATGTTTCTAGGAAATAGATAAAAGAGTGAAACTTAATTAAAAGTTTGTTTCATCACTAAAGGTCCTTAAAAATATATTTTTTATAAAAAAATATGTCGAAACATACTGCATGTACTATATATATCTATTGCATTTCTTTTCATAAAATTAATGTTTATATGGACTTCCGAACATATCTATTTCAGTCTACTAATTCAACGTTCGTATACGATAGTCGTGGCAGAAATGACAACATAGCTATTTATACATCTCGTGCTTGTCTATAGTGCATCATTAATGGTAACAGTTCATAGATGCTACGAACAGTATTAATCAGTAATTTTGAACTATTCTTGGCAGATAGGTTCTACGGAAACGAATTTTATAAGGTCAGATTGTTAAAGAACCTAAAACAATTAAAACATGCTACTTCTGCAAATTCAACTGTGCCCCAATCATATCTTGTAATGTTGAGCGTTCATTCTCAGCTTATAAATTGACTTTAAGCGATAATCGTCATCAAGTAACTCTTGACAATATTGAAAAAATACTTCTAATGTATTGTAATTTAAATTATAATTTATTATTATTATGTGTAAGTAATAAAATTATTTGAACATGTTTTGAATATATTTTACATATTCCTGTATATTTTGGCATATTATTGATACATATTTGACATATGTCACTTACATATTTTTACATATTTTATTGACATAAACATCCGCAGTCTAATTATAACACTTGATACCAACTCTAAATCTACCCCAAGCAATTTTGCGATAAAGAATAGACACGAGCATCAGGTTTTGTTCCAGCGAGTTTTTAAAATTTTGTTCTTAAATCGTTCAATATTACGTTGATGATTCGAGCCTTATTTACAACTTGTAAAACAGCTAATTTTATTTGAAATTGAAAGAAGAAATAATAGTTCAATCTTTGTTTGCAGTAACGTTTATAGGAATGAAACGACAAGAATTTCAAGTAACGAAATGGTACTTTCTTCCAAATTGTGAAATGTTTGTGAAAAAAGACGTTTCTATAAACGATTTCCATTTTTGAAATTGAATTGAAGTAGGATTATTTTCACATATTTTATTGACATAAACATCCGCAGTCTAGTTATGATTACGAAGGTTGGCGAATTTGCTCTTTTATACTCTATAAGAATATCGGAAAAAATATGTATAAGATGTTTGCCATGGAACCATGAGTTAAAAATATTTATGAAAGGAATAAAAACAATATATGAAAAAAGAAGGGAAAGGGGAGAGGAAAAGAGTGTTTTGTCCCGGGTCTGCTAGTGGAACTCGTCAGTAAGGCATCCTAAGCAGACCCCTGCCTTAGACGTTTTTGGGTTTGTCCTGTGTCCGAAACCTGTCAGGATCTCGATTGACGATGAAACGCGGCAAGAACGCGTGTTGCTCAAGCCAGGGTTGCGCTCGTTTCGGCTCTAAAGAAGCGAACATCTCGATCATCCGTCGGTGCAAGCACGGCGAGCACGTGTTGGCTCGAGCCGCAGATAATGCTTGTTAAAGTAAGTCCCCATTTTACTGGATCGTCCACCCTTCCACTCAGGGGTTGGATAATATAAACTTCTCGATCCGATGATGGAAACACCGTTGCGGCGAGGTGTTTGCTGCTCGTGCCGTGCGCTCCTCAAGCCAATCAGAGTCTTAAGGGGTGCTGCTCCATTTGTTCACAAAGAAGCCTGGCTGCGAGGTGTCCCCGCTGGTGTCCAGATCACAGAGGGTCTAGAGTGGTGGTGTCATCACCCCATTGTAGAGTCCTGTGGGACTAAGATGGAAAAGAAGGGAGAGGGAGGAGGCGTTTCGTCCTGGGTTCTGCTAGTGGAGTCATCAGTAAGGCAACCTAGCAGACCCTGCGTTAGACGCCGGAATATTGGGTAATCGGTCGAGGAGCTTATACAAACGGAATGTCGATCGAGTACTTGCGAGAGGAACGGTCCCTCTGGTGGCAAGTACGGGAACTGATGGACCCCACAGACTTAGATAATTATATTATTTGCATAACAGTTGTATAATAAAGAATATAAAATAATCTTCTCAAGCAATACTGAACTGTATCTTACGTAAATTCTTTGCAAACAAATTTTAATAATATAAAACATAATTAACGCTATATGAGGGTACTGATGATCCGTTAAAGAAATATATGTATAAGAAAATATACAAAGTCTTGATTTAAATTATGTTAATTTTAACAGAAGTTTACAAGAACATATACAGATAGCATCATCACTTAGAAACAGGCTATAGATCGTTCCAGTTTAAAAAATTATTCTTACTGTTCTTTTTCTTAAAAAAATAGCAAAAACACATTTTTTGAGGTTCCCCGATCCATATTTGTTTTCAATGTTGGAATAGTGGTTTTCTTTTTTAAACCGGAAGAAAATATATTGATTTAAGACAAAGTTACTAAAATGCAGATTTATCATATAATTGTTATATTTCATTTTGTTTAGTATAGATTTTGTAGATTATTAATTATACTATCGTTTACTGAATGAAATTCATTATTTAGGAACAAATACGATTATTACAAATCAATTTCAATTTCAGTATCTCAAATGCCAAATTTGAAAAAATTTATTTTTACGACATTTGAACAAGTAGTCTCTTCTTCAAATTTAGTCGTTGAAACGAAAAATTAGAAGAACAGAACTATTCGTAGTAGGAAATTAATGTTATTTATCGATAAATATAGACAATAAGTTAACTTGCGAAGGTTTCGTGAGTTAAAACTGAATAGCGAATAGGAGTATCTGTTAAACGAACTTCTTTCTGCAAACGTTTCGATAAGGAAAAACTGGAAACTATATGCATTTCGACGATACAATGTACGCAATCTTCGATGGTTATATCGAAGCTGTAAAATGGAGAACGCAGCCAAACGAGATGAGTATGCGTGCGAGAGCGCGTGCAAACAACCCGCAAGTCGTAAAACGAATCCCATCGTGCAAAAACAATTTGATATATGCATACGGGCCTTATATTTAATATCCTTCTTTCCTTGATTTTATATAAACAGTGCCTTGTATTCTAGCCTCCTTTGCCTTGTAGATAACTGAAGCGCTGGTGGTATTCGTCCGATGCGAAATAAAATATTTTATACATCTTTCTCTCGGTTTATAGGCCTGCTGGCCAATGTTTTTATACCGACCGGGAGATAAATATCGCTACAAATTTCTACGTAAATCGTGTTTCTTATCGTTTACCTAAAAGTCGTATAATTAATGCGCATAGTCATGCGGGGCCCTTTTCAAGCGAAAATGTATATCTCGAACCTCTTCTGCAGAAGTGCATTCCTTATCGATGTCCAATACAGCGCGTAATACAATTAAAACCTCTCGTACGAAGAATTATCAAAGTTACGGCGTATAATTTAGACAATCATAAAGTTATGGCAATATATGTATTTAATCGAAATGTTTCCTTGCTATTTATTTAAAAGAAAAACATACGTCAGATCGCGGTTCTCTCTTCGGAAAGGCAACGACGGCCGTTGTTTACGTATAATTGAGACAAGCCGGACAGTACTCTGCGTCATTGACGAGGGAAAATAGGGAGTTGTAGGGGTGGTCGTCGAGTTTAGGAGAGCTGGGGGTGGAAGGACGATCGTAAAGCGTCCTCGGAGTGGATTCACCGTCCGATAGTCAGCGACAGATACGTCTGCACACGCGATATTCCGGAGGTACTTTACTTGCGGCTGAATTTACTGATTGAACCACGACAACTGTCGTCGTTGCGGTGGAAACGGATTTTACGCGTTCCGGAGATGCCAGGGCAACGAGAGAAACCTCCGGCGCAGGGCAAATGCACTGAATTGTATCGAGGTGAATCGTAAATTCGTCGAAGCGATCAAAGTCAAAACAGGTGACTGGGAGTCGGGTGCGCTCGTGATCCGCGGTTTACAATTGCCGGCAAATTAACGTGGATTAATGG